TTACTGAGATGTTAAGATGATATACATGAAAAATTTGCCTATACATGTTTTTAAGTACTTCCTGTCTTCATAGTGTCCACTGGTTATAGATAGATTGCTCTCTCCCCACCCTCCCACCCTGGTAACACACACACACACACACACACACACACACACACACACACACACCAAGGAAGGCTGAAGAATGATATTTGTAGAAGTTAATAGGAAGCGAAGTTGGAAGGTCAAATTGACCTGTGGGCCAAATCTAGCCTGCAATTTGTAATGGTTTTCACATTTTTAAAGGTGTAAAAAAACAACAAAGAAAATGTGACAAAGACTGCATGTGACACAAAACCTAAAATATATGTTTGGCCCTTTGCAGGAAAAATTTGCTGACACCTGGTCTGGAACATTGCTGTGGACTGAATTGTGTCCCCTTAAGTTCATATATGAACATTGAAAGCATTATGCTGAGTGAAATAAGCCAGACACAGAAACATGCACTTTGAGCCCCAAAGTGACGGTATTTGGAGATGGGGCCTTTGGGAGGTTTAGATCAGGTCATGGGCATTAGTGCCCTATAAGAGGGATCGTAGAGAGCTTCCTCCCTCTCTCCTGCATGTGAGAGCACAGTGGTGAGCAGCCTGTTGACAATCAGGGAGAGGGTCCCCACCAGGAACCACGTGCACTGGCACCCTGATCTTAGACTTTTAGCCTCTAAACCTAAGAAAATACATTTCCGTTGTTTATGCCACCCAGTCTGTGGTGTTTTATGGCAGTCAGAACAGACTAAGGTAACCATACTCCTCACACTTTTGCCAAGGACAGTCTCTCATCCTCGCAGCTTTGATTTTACCAGAATCTCTTCACAGATGAAAGAGGTATTGAGAAGAAGAAAGAACACTCACCATAAAGCATGATCAGGGGATTTTTATTTTTATTTTTTGCAATAACCAGAGTGATAAGCAGCAGGTTCCAAAATGCCAAGAAGAATAGAGTTTCTACAGTAGTGATTTTCTTATGTGGCACCATCTGTTTTTCTTCTAATGTAATAAAAATGACAGCTTTTCTTGTACTGATACTCCCTGAGCCTTTTAAAGTCAAACATATGATGTTGTTTGTGTGTAAAGGTTTTTCTCTTGCATTCATTTGTTTCTCCAGCTTGAATTTTATGTAAACTCCCTTGGCTAAATTATACAAGCCACCCACACCCAACGCCTCCTCCCTCGCTGGAGCGCAGGGGACGGAAACCTGTTGTCTGCAGCCTGAGGGTCCAGCATGCAGCTCACTGTACCAGGCCCAGGAAGGTTTCCTGCCAGGCAGGGCTGCCTGTGCCCACTCCCCCACTGGGCTATGATTGTGGACATGCATCTTTGAAACATGGCTTCTTCAAGACATTATTGGCAACCTAGTCTAAACCTGTCTCCCTCTTTTCCTTTGTAAACCTTACTAAATCCTCCTCCCCCTTTTACTTTAAAAGGCAATTGCATGCATTTAAGGTAAGCACCATATTCTTTAACAAAAACAACTCCTCAATGGTGGTATAATTTATATACCACAAAGTTCACCCATTTTAAGCTACAATTTAATGTTTTTTAGTAAATTCACAAAGTTTATAACCATCACCAAAATCCAGTCTTAGAATATTTCCTTCAGCACACTATGACCCCTCATGCCCTTCAAAAGTTATCCCCATTCCCACTCCCAGCCCCAGCCCACCTTCATCTGCTGTCTCTAGATTTCTCTTTTCTGGCCATTTTATAGACATGAAACCCTACAAAGGGTAGTCGTTTGCATTTGGCTGTTTTCACCCAGCATAATGCTTTCGAGGTCCAACTATGTTATAGCAGGTGTCGAATTTCTTTCCTTTGTGCTGATGAATCGGACTCCACCGTGTGGATGTGCATCGCATTTTGTTTATCCATTCAACAGTTGTGGACGTTTGGGTTGTTTTACTTTTCATTTTTCAGCTAATATAAATATTACTGCTATGAACATAGTAATGCTACTATGAACATGTGCAAATCTTTGTGTGGACATATTAAATCTCTTACTAGTATTCTGGATAATTAATAAAATATGTTTCTAGATCTTAATTCAGAAATCAGCTGAGTTTGAAGTTTTTATAAGCCTCGTCCTTTGTCCTTCAAAAATCCCTCCAAAGGTAAACTTCCTTTGTTTTCTCTTCAGCAAGACTATCAGTTGATTCTTCTTCTTTGTGTAATTGGCCCTTGATAGAAAGGAGGCTCCCCACTTGTTAGAAAGTGTCCCCAACTCCTGCTTCCTAAAAAAGAAAGAAAATACAAGGTATCATTAAAGTTAAGGAGCACTGATTCAGTACATTCCCTGTGTCGGGGGCTGAGGAGGTTAGTTGAGATGCGACCTGGATCCCAGAGACCTTACTGTCAGGAATTGAACCATGACCTCCTGGTTATAGGTCGATGCTCAACCACTGAGCCATGCTGGCTGGATATCTTATTCTTTCAACTCATTACATTCTGCCCTGGTTTGTGTTAATGGGTACTTATCTGCAAACTAGATAAGCTTGATCTCTGTCTTTATCCAAGTCCTCCTTTTTTTAAACTCCTTACCAGAGAACATATTTTTAAATTGATTTTAAAGAGAGAAAGGAGGACGGGGAGAGAGAGACAGAGACATTGATCCTTTGCCTCCTGCATGCACACCGACGGGATTGAACCCAAAACCTGGGTTTGTGCCCTGACCAGGAACTAAACCTGCCACCTTTGGTGTATGGGATGTCGCTCCAACCAACTGAGCCACACCAGCCAGGGTCCAAGTCTTTCCTAATAACAGTGTTGCACTTGCCATTGACCTGAAGATAGCATTAGTACAAAATGGTCATTTCCCCCATCCTCATCTTTTTAAAATTATGACATAGCCTTTATAGGTGGACTCTAGGAGCAGACTGCTTTCACATTTAGCCTGGGTCTGAGTATGTTACAGTTCTTTTGATTCAAGACTAACTTGGGGGGGTGGGAGGGACGGGTGTCAATCAAATAACCACTAGGCTGGATCAGAGTGGGAGGTTTCAGGGGTTTTGTTTGTTACCTGTCTTCTTGAAGGCCACTAAGACTACACAGAAACTGATATCAGTTATCAAAAAGCAGGGAACTGAATCTTGAAATGACCTAATTAAGATTGAATTTATTTGCTTTACAAATATTTGTTGAGCGCCTACTTGTGAAAAACACAAAGTGCTTTTGGGAATCAAAAGATGAATAAAACACACTCCTGGCTTTCAAGACGTTTGCAGTGCAAAATATTTTTACCCAAAGATCTTTGAGCAAGGCTTGAGCCCAAAGCTATAAAACATATCTTCTTAAGATGAGGAACATTACAAAGTACATCAAAAAGCAAAGTGTGCTCTGAGAGTATTTTAGTATAGATGGGTGTTAAGCAGGGATTTGGGGACAGACTGAAAAATGAAAGCTCTAGAGGTGTTAGCCTTTACTTTACTTTGGCCAATAAGTGAGCACCAGGAAAACAAAAAGTACTCTTGCTCTTGACAATATAAAATTCCTATCATTTTTAGAGAATGGTAACTGCAGCTTTGAAATTCTTTGTCAGAGCAATTTAGTTAATAGGTATGTAAATGACTGCTTATTTCATTGTGTAGGTGGATCACTCCATGTACACTTTCTGAGGAAGAATAAAGTGCTAAAAACTATTAACATTGCACATACAAAGACGCAAGAGTTAAGATTAGCATGCCATACCTTTGTTGTGTTAGATGTTAGGAGTAAGACATGGTCCATCTTATCATTAGAATTTGTTCAGTTTACTCAGTGGAGCTTTTTCCTCACATTCAACTCTTAACTGCCCTTTTTGGATGCAAGAAATGTAAGTGAATTGCCGTGGGAGCTTGTTTCTTATGACTGGTTTTCAAGCACTAAGGATCATGGTAAACCTCGCAGGAGTGGGTGGGAAGGAGGTGTTGAAAGTTCAAACCACAGAAATAGATTATCATGCAAGATTTGCAGTCTGAGGCATCTAGTGAGAACATCTTTTTAAAAAAGAAAAAAAAATCTAAGGAGTTCTTTTCAAAATTTTTTGTTTTTTCTGCATGAAAACAACTTCATAGGAGCTTAGGAATTCCAAAGCTCTTCTGGCTTTAGCTACTTCCTGTGATCAGCATGGAAGCTTCTTTAATTCTTGAGTTAAACAGGGAAGAAGTCACCGGTGGGAGAGAATTAATGGGCCTTGCCTCGTAGATGGTCTCCAGCTCTTCTCCCACTTGAATCCATCCTCCCCAGTGAATCAGTAGCGTGGTTTGTTGTTGTTAACCTGAGGATATTTTTTCTCATTAGTTTTTAGAGAGAGTGGGAGCAGAGGAGGAGGAGAGAGAGAGAAACATCAATTCGAGAAGGATATGTTGACTGGTTGCCTCCCAAATGGGCCCCTATGGGGGCTGTGGGGTCGAACCTGCAACCCAGGCATGTGCCCTTGACTGGAAATTGACCCTACTACCCTCCAGTGCATAGGCGGACACTCTAACCATTGAGCTTTATGGGCTCCAGTTGTGTTTTAATCACTATATTACCCCTCCTTGAAATTTCCTTAGGTTCCTAATTGTCTTGTAGATCAAATTAAAATTCTTAATGGAATCCAAGCTTTCCACCCTTCTTATCTTCTTCCCTTCTACCCTTCTTATCTAACCACTCTTGGCTCCCACTAACATCCATTCAGATTCTCCTTGTGTTAATTTCTTTCTGTGGGCTACAGCTCATGTAATTCCCAGTCCCTGCATCTCTCATCAGTAAGCTGAACTCCTCTCACTTGCCCCTTCCCATTGGCTTTCTACACAGTTGTCATGGCATGAGTTCCTTTCTGTGGCAAGCTCTCTGCGTTATGCTGTGGCCACTGAGGATGGACACCAGGGACTGTGTCCACTTGCTGGAACCCCCACCTCTGTAAAGGGACTGCGGGGGAGGGGTGCTGTACATTGTGAGTGCTTTTGTTATCAAATGTTATTTGCTTTTGTATTCCTTTTCCTCCAGGTACAGAGTGAAGACAGTGTCCTTCTGTTTGTTATTGCCTGGACAATCACAGAAATTATCCGTTACTCCTTTTACACATTCAGTCTATTAAACCACCTGCCTTACCTCATCAAATGGGCCAGGTAAAGAAGCACAGGGAATGAAGACTACCTTTTGAAATGATCTATCACTGCAATATTGTCTAAATACTACTTCTAAGTTTTTTTAAAAAAGTGTATGAGACGGGGGATGGGTAGAAAGCTGGTCTGTAGATTTCATCAGGATAAGGAACTCTATTTAATTTTGATTCTAGAAATACTGTTTTAAATTTTTTATATTTGTTATTGTTTTTTAAATATATTTTTATTGATTTTTTTACAGAGAGGAAGGGAGAGAGATAGAGAGTTAGAAACATCGATGAGAGAGAAACATCGACCAGCTGCCTCCTGCACACTCCCTACTGGGGATGTGCCCACAACCAAGGTACATGCCCTTGACCGGAATCGAACCTGGGACCCTTCAGTCCGCAAACCGATGCTCTATCCACCGAGCTAAACCGGTTTTGGCTATATTTGTTATTTTTATTGAACCAGTTCTTTGCAGTTAAATTATTCAATAGAGATTTGATGTAGCATCCCTTTTTTGTCTGCATCAAATTTTACTGATGAGTTTCTGCCATTATGATGTTTTTTTGGACCAAGTCCAGTTTTCCTCAATTTTCTCAACAAGCTATGACTCTTAAATTAATTTCTAATTAATAGCAGTTTAGATTAGTATCAGTTTATTTTGCCTTGATTATTTTTACAATAATATTCATTATGAGTTGGATAAAAGGCCATCTATTTATCTGAACTAATCCATGAGACAGTTGTAAGCAATTTTCTGAGTTGAAAACGACTATGGGGAGGATAGACAAAAGGAGCAAAATTATCCTTGGGGCCCAAATGCCTCCTTTCATGGAAGGAAAACAGTGGTTCCTAGGCAGTTTATGAGTTGGGTGATTAAATTCGAGGCAGACCAGTTGTTTGTGACATTTCAAGTATGTACACTTCTTTATTTTCTTCCTTTTTTCCCCTAGTAAACATTTTTATTAGGAAAAGGGAAGAATGGGGAAAACATAAGTTTCTAACCAACCTGGCAGGCATTGTGGAAGCTGGGTATACCCTGGGTATAGGGAGCATTCATTGACCAAGCCCTGGTTTTACCATTGGAGAATGATTCTTTTGTCCCTGTTTTCCATGGCCTATGGAAAATTCTTCCTTTCCCACCATCCTCCTTAGCATACTGGGGTTGGCAGTAGAGAACATCTTCCTTTCTTCGCAGATTTCTCAGCACCTGGAAATTCCTGTACCTGGAATTTTGAAGCTCAATACTCACTGTCAGCCACAAACAGCCAAAGACTTCTTATTTTTTAATTATTAAAGCATAGTTGGCATACAATATTATGTATGAGTTTCAGGTGTACAGCATAGTTATCTGACTATTTATACACCTTACAAAGTGATCACTGCAATAAAATTAGTTGTAGATCACTGTACAAAGCTATTACAATACTGTTGACTATATGTATTCCCTATGCTGTACGTCACATCCCCATGACGTATTTTATTCCCCTTCACCTTTTCCACTCATCCCCCCCTCCCCTCCCCTCTGGCAACCATCAGTTTGTTTTCTGTGTCTCTGAGTCTGTTTCTGTTTTGTTTTGTTTGTCCGTTCTGTTTTTTAGATTCCACATATAAGTGAAATATGTTATTTTGTCCTCTGTCTGACACATCACTTAGCATAATATCCTCTAGGGCCATCCATCACAAATAGCAAGGTTTTATTATTCGTTATGGCTGAGTAATATTTCATTATATGTTATCTTTATCTATCTATCAATGGACACTTAGGTTGCTTCCATAGCTTTGCTATTGTGAATAATGCTGCATCAAAGGGTTTTTAAAATCTGAGCTGATGATTTCTTCAGCAATACTTATACCTCAAAATGACTTCCAGTTTATTCCATAGGATGAACTTCTCTCTGAATTCTCTTTGAAACATAGAGAATTTCTTTTTAAAGTGAAAGAAATTGTGTGGATTCTCCCATGTGATAGTAATTATAGTTTTTTCATTGAAAAATTACATGACGAAAAGTTTGTATAAATTTTTAATTTTTAAAATTAGCATATATTTCAGTTTTCACAATAGCATGCATAGACCTTTGATTAATTGTAGGAGTGCACACACATGGAATGCGCTATTTTTTTTCTGTCCGTAGACCAGACTTAGTGTACATTGTTAAGGATTCCTAGACAAATGCTCCAACACCTTCTCCCAACTCCCTGCACGTGCCCCATCCCACTCCCACCCCATAGGGTAGGTTCAATATAAATCATAACTCAGTGCCCCTGCTTTACCAATATTTAGCATCACCTCAGTTTAGGGAGTTGTTTTCAAGAGTTTTTTAAGGCTTACCGAACACATTTATTTTATTTTAGAATAGTCAGAAACATACCTGCTATAGGCCCTTTCAAAAAACTGGCTTATGAAACCTAATCTTCAACAGTGGATGAACAAGAAAATGTATAAACAGACCAATACTTTCTAAAAGACCAGTACCAATTAGAAGGGTGGGAGTGTGTCTTTCTACTAACACGGGCTTCGAACCTCAGTAATGAGCATTTTGTTTTGTTTTAGGTACACACTATTCATTGTGCTATATCCAATGGGAGTGTCAGGAGAATTGCTCACAATATATGCTGCTTTGCCTTTTGTCAGACAGGCTGGCCTGTACTCCATCAGTTTACCTAACAAATACAATTTCTCCTTTGACTATTATGCATTCCTAATTCTGATAATGATCTCCTACATTCCACGTAAGTAAACAGTTATGCATAAATTCATTTATGTGTTAAAAATTGACTCTACAATAGCTAGAGTTAAATGCCTTTGGTTGTTTTTACACCATATTTAGGTAAATGTAAATCTGGTTTATTGGGAATTTTCTCTGGTAGTAGTTGTAGAAAGATGACTCCTCAATACAGCTGCCAAAAAGCAGCCCTTCTTAGTGTGTGGGTTTGAAACACTGACTACCAGGATGGTAACTGTTGGGGAAAAGTACTGAGTGGAAAACAAAAAAAGCCATTAAAGCCTTACCTTGACTTTTTCTGTTTCTCAGGAACTGCTTATTATGGTATCGGAAAAACATTGTAAAGAGGTGGGGGGTTTTGCATTTTTACTATATCAACTAGACAGTTCTTCATTTTTAAGGAATCAGTAGTTAATTGGAAACAAATAGCAAAATCAAAACAGGTTAATTGCCCTGGCATGGTGCTCAGTGGTTGGCTCTTCGGTCCATGGACCGAGGGGTCACAGGTTCAGTTACCGGTCAGGGCCCCATACCTGGGTTGAAGGTTCATTCCCCAGCCCCGGTTGGGGCGTGTCGGTGAGGCAGCCAGGCAATGTCTCTCTCTCACATCAATGTTACTTCCCTCTCCCAGCCCCCCGCCTTCCACTCTTTCTAAAAGCAAGCGGAAAATATATCCTCGAGTGAGGATTAAAAAATAAAATAAAAACATTAATTTATTTTTTTCTATATTTTTTATTTTCCTGTTTAGAAACCAGCACTAAAACCATTTGAACAGAACATAGTGTTCTCTTCAGGATGGCTTCCAGTATTTAACAGTGCTGCTAAAGGCCTATCCTGGATAATCAAATGTGTCCCTCAGCGTCCTTGGGAACAAAGGGAAAATGCTGTGTTTGAGGCCTCTGTGAAGTGAGTCCTGTTTGCTGAGGAAGAGTTGTTTGGTCCTTTTCTTGGATTCTGTTGTTCATTGAAATCCTGTGGTTGGTTTCCACGTATCCAAAAGGACATAGGTTTCTTCTCCTTTAGCTATTCCTGTAGCCATTGTGACTGGCTCTTATTTTCGTCTATAAGGTGCTATCTTCTCCCCTGAACCTTGGGTTAAATTCAGACAGGAGGGTTGAGCTTTCCTTCAGCCTACGGCACTAACTGTGTGAGTCATCCTAACTGTCGTAAGGACATGTTAGTGTCCCTCTGAGGAAACCTGCATTTCACGCATTGTGAAAAAAACTGCATCCTGATTTCATGTAGCATTTATCTTGGACACAATTCTGTTTCATGATTCACTTCCCAGTCTATTAATTATCAGGTCCTTCTCTTGCATGCTGAAACCATGGTGGCTAAAGGCCATCTCTCAGATGTAAAAGGGAGTTGCTTACCAGATAGAAGGTAAATATGGAAGAGTATAAAAATTCAAGTAGTAAAAATTAGCTTACAGTTTTTTACCTTTCTACTGTTGTTCCCTAAGAGTTTCATCTTCCAGTCTCCAGAGCAACAATTCTTAGTTGCAGTTTTGCCATCCTGGAATAACAGGTACTATCCCAGTGAGCAGGCGCCACAGATTTATTTAACCCTTTGTACGCCACAAGTGTTTACAGACACGGGGATGGCTTCCGTTTTGGATGCGTGGCATTAACCGTGGCAGATAAACTGGTTAAATTCAACATGTTTTTGGAGTAAATAGAAAATAGGTGCCATTCTGGGTAACCTGGAAAGGGTCAAGGAGGGTCTCGAGCAGTCAAACCAATAACAAGATGCTGCCACACTGGCAGAAGTCAGGGCTGCTGCACAGTCTCTGTCTGTCAGAAAGGAGGGCTTCCTCCCCGCAACAGCCTCCTGGGCAGTCCGTGTCTGCGCCCCCACTCTTTCTTGTGTTCTGATGGCCAGCCAGTGCCCAGCTTTTGCCTCTCCCTGCTGACCTCATGACAGCGGAGGGGCCTGGTCTCCCACAGGCAGCCTCCCCGTGGATAGCATTCCTCAAGGAGAACGTTCGGTTCTGTGGGGCTTCCCCTCAGCTTTAAAATGTGAGAGAAGACCTCAGCCAGCTGTCTGCGCAGACTTCTCAGCACGTCTGTTTCTTCGTCTCAGTTCCTTCCCCCTTCCCTTTTCAGCCTCCTTTTGGTAAGAGAACTTGGCTTAGTTGAAGTTTATAGTCTTTCCTTTTTAAGGTGGCTTAACTCTTCTAGACAAAGAGTAGGGGTTGATTTCTAATAAAGATTAAAAGATTTCCTCCAAATCCCTGACTCCCCACCCAGCTCAAGATGGCACCTGACCTGCTGCAAATCCTGTGTCTGCTGGCACCCTTGGCGCCTCGGGCGGGGCGGGACGGGCGGTAGCACTGAGGCCAGTTTGTACACTTTGTTCTGGCCAACCGCACATTTCATCTTTCCAAAGCTTTGTATTTATCAGAAGAAATGCAGAATTAGGAGAGGTTGCTGTTGACATGTGGTCTTTACCAATTTGGTTTTCTTTCTACAACTTAAGTTTCTTTTAATCTTGTTTAATAGGGAGTTTGTGATAGATATTACATAGGCAACACCTGCTTTTATGGTCCTCACCTGTTACTGCATTGATGCACATGTAGCCCAGATTGCGGCCCATGAGCCCTGGCCCAGGAGGGCTCTTGTGTTGGGAAGCTTGGAGTCCTGTGCAAGGTGATCCTCCCTGCTGTGGGCAGTGGCAGTATGTGCTGTGTCTGCGGGACTCAGTAGATGTCTAAGTCCTATTTACATTTTCCCTCCCCACGTTGGTGAGCACTGGTTGTAGAGTGGGGATAAAACGGCTGAGAAACAATGATGTAGGGTGAAGACACCAAGAAGCTGGCTCTCCCAGTGGTCAGTAACTATAACCACAGCTCTGATTTTTGGAGAAATTGAAAACGAAACTTGTCCCAGACAGAGCATTTCCAGTTGCTCTCATCCTCCAAGTCTTCCTTCCCTAGAGAGAGAGAGAATCCATCTTCTTCTTCTTCTTTTTTTTTTTAATCCTTACCCGAGGATGTTTTTGCCATTGATTTTTTTTTTTTTTTTTTTATAGAGAATGGAAGGGAGGGAGGAGGGGGAGAGAGAGAGAAACATCAATATGAGAGAGACACATCTATTGGTTGCCTCCTGCATGAACTCCAACCGAGTCTGGGGATTGAACCTGCAACTGAGTATGTGCCCTTGACCACAAATCGAACCTCCACCCTCAGTCCACCATACCGGCCAGGGCGAGAGAGTCCATCTTCTTACAGAAAGGGAGGCACAGTGGCACCCACCAGCCCTCACACCCACCCCAACACACCAACTGCCTCTATTCTGTGTGTCCTGAACTGGAAAGCAGAAGGTAGAATTCTAAGTAGCCTGTTGTAAGGTTGAGGTTTTCTTAGGGACAGTCTTCATTATAGCCCAATGGAGTTAAAAATAGGAGCCATGAATCTGAAATTGTTGTAACCCTAAAACTTGGGTTTAGCCGGAACAAGTGGGTAATTCTGATGGAGACAGTGTCATCCACGTTTTGGTCCCAGGAAGACGTCACTGCTAGAGCTATAGAGAGCCTTCAGCCCAAGTATCCCATTCCTTTTCTTAGGCGCTCAGAAACCTCTGGGAGGTGTGGAAGAACTCCAGGGCCATATTTGCCCTCTGTTTCTGACATCTGCCTCTTGGGCAGCCAGCAGGCCCTTGCATACAGGGATGAAGGCACAGTTGGCCATCTTGCTCTGCTTGCCGCTGAGGGCCTACTGAATGGCTTCCAGCTCACTGTCCCCCTCCCACCCTCTGAACTAGCTGTGAGGCTGTAGCCGCCCTGTACAGGGTGTTGTAATCAAATGCAACCAGAGGAAAAGGCCTCTGTGCTTTGCCACAACATTTCCCTTTACGAAAGCACATCTATAGAAATGTGACTGGCCCGCATTTTTAAATGATTGCAATTATCATTCCTTACGGTTTAATTATATCTTTACTTCTAGTTTTTAGATTATAGAGCTTGTCAACTTTTTTTGGCTCTCTCATACTAAAATAGTTCACTGTTGAATTACATGCACAAGCTGGGTCTTTTCTGCGAATAACTTTCTGCCAGCAAATAGTGAGTGGAGTGGTTGGCAGCCCTGCTCGGCATCAGCTTCTGCAGCTTATCAGATCTGTGTGCACATGCCCACTGATGGCCTGGACTACATTTGAAATTTGGGAGGACCATTTGAAATTTGTCCAACTTGGAACCCATTTAAAAAGGAAGAAACTGTCAGAGAGCGTGGGCAATACTAGAAATTACCTCCCCCAAAATACAAGTTATTGTCTAAAAATAGACATTGGAACTGCTGAGAAGGGGAGGAAAGGAAGGATATTGTACACCCAAGACTATCTCACTGGAATTTCTTACATGGTTATTGAATCCCCCAGTTTACAGTAACCTTGAGAAGGCCAGGCAGCTTAAACTGGCATTTTCCAAATGTGCTCTCCGCCCGTTTCCAAATATTCCCTAAGTAGGCAGTACCGTCCAGTTCATTTGAGAGCCCTTACTTTTTAAAGTAATCTGTAAATTACCAAGAACAGAATCTCCAGTGGGTAAGATACTGGCTATCTTTTCATAAAGACTTTTTCTACACTCAAACCTGTCTCAGTTGTGTTCAGATTAGATGTAGTAGCGCTCCTCCCCTGCCTCAGTCTGGCCTTTCACAGAACAGCCCAGAACCTGGTCCTGACTGTCAGTGATTTGCAGTGAAACACCAGACAAGTTGCCTGCCTTCTCTGGGCTTGAATTCCTCCTCTGAAACATGGACAATAACTCCCTCACTAGAATTTTTCACTTGGTTGTTGTGAAATCAGAGAATGAGTGTAAAGGAAATAAGAGTGTAAAGAATATAATTTGCTGGCTCTGTGGCATCTTGACTGGTAATGGTAGTGACAGTAATGTCTGTCAGTCCAGGCCACATGACCCTTCCTCCGTGGCTAACACAGGTAAAGGTAGGTCTCTGCGTTTTCCCTTCCCCAAGTGCACTTTGTCACTCCTCGGCAACTGGACGATAAAGTAGTCAGAAAGTCAGGAGGACTTCAGTCCAGGTTCTTTACATGTTTTTATTTGTTTTCGAGAGAGAGAAAGGGAGAGGTATAGAAACATCGATGAGAGAGAAACATCAATCAGCTGTCTCTTGCATGCCCCCTTGCTGAGGATTGAGCCCACAACCCAGACATGTGCCCTGACTGGGAATCAAACCCACGACCTCCTGATTCATGGGTCAACACTCAACCACTGAGCCACACTGGCCAGGCAAGTTCATGTGCTTTAAACATGCAATTTTAAATGTTCTCCTTAACCAGTGCTTTCTTTTCTTTCCAGTTTTCCCCCAGTTATACTTCCACATGATACACCAGAGAAGAAAGGTCCTTTCTCATACTGAAGAACACAAGAAATTTGAATAGTTCCTGTTTCTGCACCCCTTCAAAAAACAAACTTTTCAACAACAAAAAATGCTGCAGACTTTTTGAGTTCCCAATACGTTTCATAGAAAATAAGTAAAACTATTTTTAAAATACTAAACAAAACGAAAACCAGAATCCAGTGTCACACAGGCCTGGGGTTTTATAAGATAAAACAAGGAAAAAAGCTGTTACGTAAAACACCCTGGCCAGTCCATTCAGCATGCTTTTTCAATCAGAAGTTCCCAGTACTTATGATGGCACTAGACAGGGATTTGGCATTTTTTACCCTCCTATTTCCTTCGTGTATCCGATAAACAAAGATCTGTAGCACTGAATGCCTGATAGTTGCAGCCTGAGGATGGAGGTGGCACCAGCTGGGTGCCCGGCTTGCAGGAGTTCTGTTCAGCCTGCAGCGTGGTCAGCATCCCCTTTCAAAGTGCTCCACTGCATGCTGAGAACTGTTTGTGTTTTTGCAGCGGCAACCTTTGTTCTCTGGAATGCTCTGAAGTTATGGCTAGGACCTTTTCCTCATGTCTAGTGAATGAAATACACAGTTTGTATGTCTGTGAAGCTTTGGGGTAGTACCCATAGTCAGAAAACAGCTAGAACCCTTTTGTTTTCAATTGAGTCATTCCTGCCTGCCACTAAGAAACGTGCTTGAATCTAATAAGTATGCGTACATTATAGAGAACCTACCTTACCTGGGGCTCAGCCCCACTCATATTTAACAAAACGACAGTGCTCAGAAAGGGAGAGTTTCAGCGTAGTAAATGACAGGCACTCCCCTGTCCTGTCCTCAGAGCCCCTCTGAGCGATGGATTTGCAGCAACTGTTCTCATCTATGGCCCCAAACCAGTCTAGTCACAGAAGGGGAGGATCTGCTCATGAAACACATGGAAGGTGTTACTTTAGAAATGTTGTCGGAAGAACATTCAGGAAGAGGTTTCTGTTTCTACACCTTGATCATTTTATTTTTAAATTTTCATGAAACTCTTCTGTTTGGATACTTCTCCTAACTATGGTCCTCTGTAATTCGCACCAAGTTGTACATCAGAGGCAGTGGGATATCCAGTGGGCAGTCAGGAGCTGAAAGCAGTGTCACCCACATGCTGGGGCAGCCAAGAAATCCTTGCTCATGGACATTATTTAATCAGTGTCCTATCTTTGTGCCATGTAATTGCTCAGCTGTGCATCTCAGACTCTTCCAGAAAGGGCTGGAGAGAAATGTAAAGCCCGAGCTCAGATGTGCACTAGATTTTAAACACAGGATGTTCTTTGTGGAGCCTTTTTTTTTGAAAAATTGGTTGATCTTTAAAACTTTAAAAGTCTAGCTTATAGAGTCATTATCACTTAAAATATAATTGCTAATGTCAGAAGAGTGTCATAATGGAAAGTAAATTTGAAATGCTTATTTTCATAGGCACTTGAAAGTTAACATAAGAAGGAGAAGAAAATATACAGCCTAAAATGTGATACAGGCAGATGTGTAATAAATAACTTTTGAATTGAACATTAACATTCTGCTTCACACAGTCAGCACTCTTAACTTGGTGATATTGAGATTAGAATCTATTGTACATGATAAACAAAATATATGGGAAAGATTATATTTCATGCTCTTTCTCATTTCATTTTTCAAAACTGTATTTCTCCTGTCAAATAGAATCAATTTGGATTATAATAGCCTTATTATTTAATCTGGGTAAGATTTTTTTCAGTTGTTGTTGGAATAGTTAGATGATGGGATGAAAAGTGCAGGTTCTTTTCAGGGTTGCTGGATTGGATTTATTCAGGCCTCTCTATTGTAATTTGTCACTATTTAGGGAAACAGTCTGGTGCAGACAGTGGTATTGCCTCAAATTGCAAAAAGAACACAGTAAACTTTCTTCTCAAAAAGGGTCTCAGCCCCAGTGTTTGTTTCTGTACATCAAACATTTAAAATGCTCGTGGCAGATAAGTAAGACATGCCACCGTGTCCTTCAGCCACCTCTCCCAGTAACTGGTGTTTTTTTAGTTTTGGGGTTTTTTTTAGCTCCAACATAAATTAATGTTTCCTTTGAAGTGGTGGCATTCTTTTAGGAACTGAGACCATCCAACCCCACCAAATATCCCACCTTCCTACAAAGTGTGAATGAAAAAGGTGGTGTTTGGTGGGTGTTTTGTCAGACTTTCAGTGTTTATTTCAGGCCACAATCAAAGACATCAGCTGCCCCCTGACAGGATGTTTCAGATCCCTCTCGGGACCACCTTCTGGCAGAGGATTCTGTGAGGTGTGCAGTAGTGCTTTGTAGACACAAGCTGCTGAATTGCAACTTGCTGTCTTGTTTGCTAAGGTTGGGATCGTTCATTGAACATGCATTGCCTGTGATCAGAGGCACCGTGGAGAGTTAGTCCTGGAATAAAGCACCACCCTGCCAGACGAGAACGGTCCTCTGGCGCGAGCTTCCTACGGAAGAGGTAGCCTAAAGAGGCCTGTGAAGAGACTGCCCTCATTTCCGCTTGCACTTTTGGTTATTCATTTGTAATAAAAGGTTGTCATCGATGTGGTGCAACCTACGAATTCTTTTCAATTCTGAGTTTCAGGTAAAACATAAAACACCAGAATCAGTACATACTGCTCCTTTGAAATTTGGGTAAAAATTTATATGATCATATATAGTCATTTTTGTATTTTTTCTATGTTGTGAAAACCAAAATTGTAATTTTATAAGTCTTTGATTCACTAAAATTCTATAATTTAAATGTATTTTTTGTATATTTAGAAATAAGGCATTCAAAGACTATGCTTAACTTTCTATGCATGCATTTGGAAGCTGTTTTTACTGATAATGTAGTAGTAAATTGTATTCATAAAATACTGATCTGTGTTGCATTTCAAAATAAACTGGTGTGTGCTCTGCCTGGGTCTGAAACACTGGCCAGCGAGTCTGGTGATTTTTCACATTAAATTGGCCCGGAAGTGGTGGTGTAGGAACACGGACACATTTCAGTTCTGCCACAGATTCCAGCTCACTCTTTGACCGTTTTAAAATGTATTTCTGCTCATCATGTGGTTCTGCACCTACAGGAAAAGTAGATTATATTAAGAGGTTTCCAAAAAGTTGTTTTTCCTGCCAGTCTTTAAGCTTATCAAGCCCGTCCCCAATGCGGCTGCAGAGGGACAAGGGGGAACCTCACGTAGGTGCCCAGGAATCTAAGAAACTCATTAGTGGATGATTGAGGACCCTTATCATACAGTGTTTTTTGTTTTGTTTCTGTCTTTAGCCTAACTTCTAATGTAAGTTGAAAGGGGAAATACTCCTGTTGCCCAGCAATGCTCATCACATATCAGACAGATACATGGTCAAGGAATCAAGTACCTCGTCCTGAAGATGCCTCCACAGACAGAACGTCCTGGGGGCTGCTCCACCCACAGGATACTCAGCAGACGCTTCTGACCTGCTAGTTCTAGGCTCCCAGCGTCTTCACCTCGATGAAAGCTTGATGTCTCTGTGTGCTGGGCACTTTCTGGTTATTTCTTTGGGTGATTTCTGCTATTTGCAGAAGCAGCTCCATCAGCTCTGAGCACTGAAGTCCTTCTTGGAGATGAGCTAGAATGTGCTGGGGACATGGAGAGAGACCTGGGGTCCTCCCCGCAAGCCAGCAGTCACATGCCCCCACCTAGTCTACAAGGTCTTCCTCCGAGTTAAGTCACCATTCGTTATCCAAGAGTGTGGTCTTTATCCCAAGGGGGGACATTTCCTTTCTAAATGCTGTCTGGTCACGACTTCGATATTACCTGCACTGCGGTTAGAGTGAGAACAGCCTCACTCCTCATACAGAGTCTGTCTGTCTCAGAGATAGGCTTTATTTATGAAAAGAGAAGTAAAGTTACTGCAACCGAAGTGGAGGGCCAGATGGTAAAGTTAATACAGAGGCACCCAGGAAACACCACTTTTACAACCGGTGGTAATGGAAATCAGGGCTTTCTAATTGGTCATTGTCATATTTTGTGGCAATTATGTGTACTGTTAACATAAGCCCAGCCTGAGGAATTGCCCTTGGTATAATTAAGAGCTTAGCTGTTCACACAGCGTTCCCAAAATGCTGCTGTGTTCTGTTCCCTCTAACAAGACTGAAGACTAGCTTTGCAATTTCTCATACTTTTTAAATTCCAGCCTTACAAATAGACTGGCTCATTGTCATATAGTTTCATAGTGAAGAAACTGTTCTAAGCAACTATTACCAAAAATAGCCATACCTATTAACATTCCTCTGCGTGCAGCTGAGCCAGAGTTAGAAGAGAGCGCTGTGTCTTGTTTTGTTTCTACCACTTTCTTTTAGGCGTGTGAGGGACTGTTTCACCTTTTTTTCACAATTGGAGATACCCTGTAGGGGTGGGTCTCATTACCAAATATTATCTTTTCCCCCCGCAAAAGGCAATTCACCCTAAAAGTCTCTTTTGATGAGCAAAAATTAAATGTGAGAGACTGTGTACATCAGCAGCTAGTGCCCATTTCTTAAATCTTTCCAATACTTGGAAACAGTTCTGCTCACCAATTCCAGAACATAGACTTATTACCACAGCAGCTCTTTTGCACCTGTCTTTGACCTTGGTGGGTGCAATCCAGATACCTTTCCAGACGCTGCACTTGTAAAGCACAAGCGTTGTTTCTGCCTCCCCCGTCGTCGTAGCCGCGCTGGCCTGTGGGGGGCAGCACCTCACCAGTGATCTGGGGCCGTGGGAAACAGCTTCTGCCCAAGGACGCAGAAAGACACTAATGAAAATTAGTTATGGGTCTCTATTGTCCATATAAAGTAAAGGCAGTCAGCCCTCAGCATGTTCTGGAGGGGTACCGTCAGTAACACTTTTTTTAGAGCAAAGAAACCATCTTGGATGGGTGCTGGGTGGCTCCATCTACCCGTTGCCGCCTCAGCCCTCCCCAGCATGGGCCCTGCAAGCTGCTTGATCTTGAAATGCTGAGGGCTTTCGGAGCTGGGCAAAAAGCAGGTGGTAGTGCTCTTGTTTAACGGAGAGCCTGCTTGCTAATCTTTGAAACGTTCAGGAGGTCAGTTCCCACTCTTCTCTGTCTGGGTATTTTTGGAGGGTGGCCTGGGCCATGAGAAAATGTCAGGCCACCTTATAAGGCCACATCTGGCCCCAAGAATGCTTGTCTGCAGCACGTCCAGTACACTCAGTGGGTGTGAATTAACTTTGACTCTTGGACTGTGGGTTTTCTCACAGATTGCAAATGTTTCTACTCATGCCTTGGAGAACTCTCAGTCTTTATAACCTCCCTCTAGAAGCTGTTTAAATGACACCAATTTTGGACATATCTAATAGATAACCAAAGGCATGTGTACCCCGGTAATGGCCTCACTACCACTCAGGCTGATTGTGCAGGGCCAATAGTGAGAGTCTGCCACAGGCGGTTTATTTCTATAACCAGTGCGTGTCAGTGTGAAATGCACAGAATTCGTTGTAAGTGAGGATGGGAGGATGGATATGTTGGAGGTTGGGGCAATTCTGGACTTTAAAAAGTTCACACACAAAGTTTCCTGCTAAACTTTTCAGACCTTTGTGCATATCAATGCAGTTTGTGAGTCTATGGTGGGGGGAGAGTAGGGGGGTTGCTAATACAGGATTTCCATAAACTATTTTTGAGCTTTATCCTTAAGACATCTTCAGGGCTAAGGCTGCTTGAACACCTTGAAAAATAATCTAGCAGCTTTCCCATGGGGAACACTAAGCCATCCAGAGGGAAGAAACGAGATGGGGTTTAGTCTGGGATCTGGGAAGATTTTCCTTTTTTGTTTTTAATAAACCACCATCATCAAATAGGTAAATGAATCATTAGATTGAGCACATGGTGCCAGCAGCCCTGGATGGAGTCTGTCATTGGCTGCTTACTGGCGGATCTAAAAGGTGTCTCAGTGGATGGGAACTTGTTCACATAAGAAGGCCGGGCTGGGCCCAGCAGCCCCTGTGGTGCCTCCCAGGCTTGAAACCCAAAGCCATGCCCACACCCGTTTCTGAACACAGACTCAGGTGCCTGCTGCCAGCCCCTCACTCAGGCCTGTCCTGTCCTTGGGCCTCGTGGTATCAGGAGTGGTTGTCCACACCCCCACCTGCCTCCAGGTGGCGGCTGCTTTGTCTGGTGTGCCCTGTTATCTGACAAGGCCTAGAAGTCCTTTTGTTCTGAGTTGCAGCCTCCCCACATCAGCTCACCACATACACCTTATGAGCCAGAGAAGCCAACACTATACAAAGAAATCCAAGGCCCCAAGAGGGTAGATCTGGGACTAGCTCTTACCCACCCCCTCCTCCCCCCGCCAGCCCTCGCCAGGGCAGCTCCAGGGCGGTGGGCCCTCTTCTGCCCACACCCACCCGAGGCTTTGCTGAAGCTTCCCCTCTTCCTCCTCTCCCTGTTTCCCAATCTCCCCTGCCCATAGCTCCTCAACCTCCCCCATCTGCCCCTCCTGCCAGACTCCACTGTTCTCACTGTTACCATGAACCTCTGTGCCCCCTTCCCTCCCAGTGTGCCCTCCTGGCAAAACCCCACTCTGGGGTCAGGCCAGCTGCTCTCCTGTCACACCCTTTTCTGTACCTGCACACTTAGGGCTACTCACCTGGCACAAAGTCCACGATTCCCTTCCAGCCCCATCCTCCTTAAACCTCGGACTTACTCTCTGGATAGCACCCTGTAGGAGTGACTCTCGGGTCAAGCCTCAGGCTGACCTGTGGCAGGGCCACAAACAAGTCCCAGCCTGGAGGGCAGAGCTGTCCTAGCACAATTAAGCCTGACCTTGTAGCCCTCCCTAGTTCCTTCCTAAGTAGCTAATGGGCTGTGGGAGGTACAGCAAGTGTTGCCAAAAACAAGAACATTTGTATACATGTTAATCTACCCTTGTTTTAATCAAACTATAAAATAAAGCATCGGCTTGCAGGCCAGGTCTTTCGTGTCCGCATCCAGGCACGGGAGATCCACCGAGCCCCAGCTGTATTCTTTTGTCTGTCTTTTCTTCAATCCTTCACCGCCCCTCCTCAGGTTCACCCTTGGCCATGCTGGTGCGTCACAGCACCCCAAGTTTCACAGAGAAAACAGCCATTAGACAGAAATCCTTCAGCCTTCTGTCACCAAATCTATAAACTTGCCTGCACCAGCTCACCCTTTTCTTGTCCTTTTGTTAAAATGGGAGGGGTGACCCTCTATCCAAAGCTAATCCCTCCCTTGTGTCCTGGATGTTTCCATCATTCGCCCCCTCTGGGACCTCACTCTAGCCATCTCGTTCTCTTTGCCAGCTCTTCCCGTCCAGTACCTCCCACTTTGGCCTTGACCCCATGCACTTCACTGTTTCCACCCTCTCTCCTCCTGTGCTCTGGGAGAGTTGACCACAAGCACTTCTCTATCTCTCACCTCCTAGTCTCTTTTCCCATCTCACCAGCCTGGCTCTGCGTATGCCACTGACTCAGCTCTGTCCAAAGTCGCTAGTGACCTCCTTTTTACGAAACCCTGCCCATGCTTTGCAGTCTCGGTCTTATGGCTGAAATTGGGATGCTATCCTACTGGAAGTTAGATATATGAGATGGCTTTGGAGGAGACTAGGGGGTGCCAGCAATACCCAATCCTGGTCCAAAACTCTCATCTCTCCTCCCTAATGAAAGTATATGCCAAGGAAGTAATGGGGAGCCAGCCAGCCCAAAGTGGAATGGTCAGCTATGCTTAGCTCCAGGGGAGCGTTCAGGTAAGCTTCCTGAACTAGTAGGAGGTCGTAGCTCAGACTAAAGGAAACTGTGAGGCCTGCTCCACTCACCTCCCAGCCCACCCCACCCGCTCTGATTTCTTCTCCATCAAAGGCTGACCCCACACACCACCGCCTCCAGGGGAGAATCACTCAAAGACTGAGTGCGCTGCCACACGTGGCACCAGGCTGGCC